GGCGGCTCTGAATGCATCCATCTGCGGTTGTTGGTCTGTTTAAGACTGCTCTGCATTTGTGTTTCTGCCTGCACTGGAGTCAGTGGTAGGCTGCTTCACAGACTGGAGGATCTGAAGGAAAGAATACATCAGAAAGCAGGAGAGAAAAAAGCAATTTTCCTCTGTTTGTGAACAGCAAAACAAGACACAGCAGAAAGAAGAGGAAAAGGGATGCCTGAGGTCTGGGGCTGAGAAACCATGTTACCATAGCAATGAGGAGCTCTCTTAGGAAGAAGTGACAGACAGGGCCAGGTAATCCTTTCCATCTCACAGTGCATAGCTAAGAGACTGAGCCAGGTGCTTTTCCACTGCCACCACCTAAAACGACAGCTCATTCTTTAGGGGAAGGATTTTATTCCTGGGATATATACACAGCCAAATAAAATCCCTTAGAGTTGTGTTCCCTCTGGTGTGCTATGCTGCTGTGACTTTGCAGAGTTACACTGGGGATATATTTCTTTACGGAACAGAAAGTAAAATAGAAAAAGAGTGGTTGCGGCAGGCACAAGATTGCACGTGCAGTTCACTTCTAGACTGTAGAAGGAGCATAGGCCCGTCCATCTGAGCTCTTTCTAGGCTGTTCCACAGAGCAGCCATATGTACAAGTCAGGAGACAAATGGCCAGCTGCCTTTGAGCCTCAGTCTGCACCTCTGAGGAGTGAAGTTTGACTAGACTCCCAAGATTCTTTTCAGTTGTAATACTGTGATTCTTAAATCACATAGTGGAAGAAGATAGCATATGATGGATAACAAAGACAGATACCTGGCTACCCAGCAGCTGGTGTCCCCTATTTCAGAGGACCTTTCTTGGCTGTCATTGTCATCTTCTCAGAGAGAGTGTTCTTCCTGTGTAAGTGCTATCCATGTGACAGTTCTCAGCACCACCCCACTCTCGGTTCTTTTAAAAACCTGAGTCGTTTTGATTTTCATTTCTCTGATGGCTTAAGTGTCTTTCAGACATTTGAGATTCCTTTGTTGAAAGTTCTCTGTTTAGGTCTGTACTCCATTTTTAAAATTGAATTATTTGTTCTTTTAATGACCAATTTCTTGAGTTCTTTGTATATTTTGGAGATCAGCCCTCTGTCCAATGTGGGGTGGGTGAAGATCTTTTCCCATGCTGTAGGCTGCTGCTTTGTCTTGTTGACAGTGTCCTTTGCTTTACAGAGCTTTTCAGTTTCAGGAGGTCCCATTTATTAATCATTTCTCTCAGAGTCTGTGCTGCTGGGGTAATATTTAGGAAGAGGTTCCCTGTGCCAAGGTGTTCAAGTGTACTTCCAACTTTCTCTTCTATGAGGTTCAGTGTTGTTGGCTTTATGTTGAGGTCTTGGACTTGAGTTTTGTGCATAGTGATAGATATTAATCTATTTTCATTACTGTACATATTGATATCCAGTTATACCAGCACCATTTGTTAAATATGCTCTCTTTTTTTCCATTTTATATTTCTTTGCTTCTTTGTCAAAAATCAGGTATTTGTAGGTGTGTGGATTGATATCCGGGTCTTCTATTCAGTTCCATTGGTCCTCCTATCTGTTTTTATGCCCATACCAGCCTGTTTTCAGTACTGTAGCTCTGTAGTAGAGTTTGAAGTGAGGGATTGTGATGCCCCCAAAAGTTCCTTTATTGTACAGGATTGCTTTGGCTGCCCTCGACCTTTTGCTTTTCCATCCTATCGTACACCTGTCAGAATGGCCAAGATCAAAACCACTGATGACAACTTATGCTGGAGAGGATGTGGGGTAAAGGGAACACTCCTGCCTTGCTGGTGGGAGTGCAAACTGGTATAGCCGCTTTGGATATCAGTATGGAGATTTCTCAGAAAATTAGGAAACAACCTTCCTCAAGACCCAGCAATACCACTATTGGGCATATACCCAAAGGATGCTCAATTGTACCACAAGGACATGTGTTCAGCTATGCTCATAGCAGCATTATTTGTCATAGCTGGAACCTGGAGACAACCTAAAAAGCCCCTCAACCGAAGAATCGATAAGGAAAATGTGGTATATTTATACAGTGGAGTGCTACACAGCAGAAAAAAAAATCTTGAAATTTGAGGGCAAATGGATGGATCTAGAAAACATCATATTGAGTGAGGTAATCCAGACCCAGAAAGACAAATACCGTATATACTCAAAAACTAGCCTACAATTCACAATCCCAGAGAACCTAGACAACATTGAGGACCCTAAAAGAGAAATACATGGATCTAATGTACATGGGAAATAGAAAAAGACAAGATCTCCTGAGAAAATTGGGAGCATGGGGATCATGGGAGAGGGTTAAAGCGGAGGGGAGAAGAAAGGAGGATAGCAGAGGAAAATATACAGCTCAATAAAGCCAATAAAAAATTAAAAAAAAACCATTTCTCTTTTTAGGATGGAAAATAAAATACTGGTTTGTAATCTGTAATCTCTGCTATAAAGTGCCTCTGGTGCTTGTTTTCAGACTCTCAATGTTGTTTGTTGTAGGCAGTATACTGTTGTCTACTCAGGTTGCACAGTTAAAGCTCTGCCTTTGACTTGAGCCAAGTGAATTTTTGCTAGACGTAATTGCATGTGTGCTCAATCTGTTTACACCTGATGAGAGAGGGGAATGCTGAAGCAGATGTTCCATATGCCATTCAAGATTGTCTGACAGCTACGCTAGGCAGGTTCCATCATAGTAACAGGACTAGTGGTCCCTACTTTCTTCACAGTCTTACACCTGCTAACGAGTCCTCCTCAATTCCCCTTGTTTCATTTGCTCAGTACAAGCAATTAGGGAAGCTTCTGCAGTCCTGCAGGCGGGATGCTGTGCTGTGTTTAAAAGCCAGGATTCTATTGCCAAAGGAACCATATTGACACATGTGGGATAGACATCTTCCTCGGGTTACTTTGTCATCTACTAACCAAAGTTGTTACCAAACCAACCAGTCATGAGGCTGTCTGTGGCTTAACTGTCTGCAGTTTTCCACCAGCCTTCCCTCTCCCACGTTCTCTAACAAACATGGAGTAGATGCTGGAGAGCTGGATTTCCTAGGCTGGTCCCATCGTACATGATTTCCTAACTTAAAAAACACATCTCCATGGTATTAAAATCTTACGGTATTGACTTTTCAACACAAACTAAATTGGAGTGGCTAGCTAGTAGCCAGAGAGTCAGAGCCCTGGGGTAATCACAGCAGTTCCAGCTAGCTGTGTAGAGGAGGGCAAGCTACTCCAAGTTTCTGGGCTCCAGGAGAGGAAGCATCTGCTTGCTTGTTGTCTCATGGGTCTATAATAAGGAACCTACAAGGTGGAGCGTTTGACAGTGCTTTGCAGAGCATGCAATCCAACTCCAACACAGAAAAGATGGAAGACATGCATAAACTGTGATATTTTCATTGTGTTATTGCTTTCATCTGTATGGTGTGCTGCATGTTTATTCATAAACAGAGATTGTAAGGTTGACTTTCTCCCAATTATCACAACTAATGAATTCTTCTTAATGAGAAGCTACAAATATAGATTTTATTCGAGGGAGGAAATTAAAGTGATGAAGGCGACTTTTTTCCTCCATTGGCACGTAAAAAGTAAAGAGACTACTAATTAGAAAATATCTAGTTACTCTCTGTATTCACCTAGTGGCTTGGCTTCTCCCGGTCTTCATTCTTCACTCAAGTATAAGATATGAAAAGTCAGCCCTTCTGTAAATATTGTCACTCGGTGATGTGTCTCCTGGACAAATGTGTGTTGAATTTTGTTTGTTAGAACTGTATGCCAAGTGCTCAGCTTTATAAGTAAGAGAGAAAGCACCTGAGATGCTTTAATGTTTGTATTTTATGATACTTTAAGATAATGCTGTGCAAAGGAATTGCTCAGAATACTTATTCTCATGGGAAATTCTTTTCAGTTCAAGTGTATCACAGTTTTCTATAACCGAATTATTTGCTTATTTTAATAATTTAAATTCGGGGTCACTTAATTAATTTTTTCCAAAGTGACTTTGTTTAATGATTGCCATCCTGAAAAGATGAAATGGGATTAATCATCAAAGTATTTGATTTACAGTAAATGATCATGAGTATCTATGTAAAGAGTCCCTCCACTTGAATACTTTTTCTCTAATCAGTACTCATACACCACTAACACAATAGGTGGATTCTCTTCCCCCGCATGCATGTAACAAGGTATAACTGTTAAGAGCCAGTTAGAGAAGATCGCAGGAAAGCTCTTAGGAGAGTTTCATTATTCCTTGTCCCCTGCCTCTTTCTCATCCTGTCCTGCATTAGAATTTTCTGACAGAGACTCACCCATGCCAACCTTGGATGCAGAGTGGCTTTCGTACCTCAGCCTCCTAAGCGCAGAAATGACAGTCGGGCTTTGCCGTACCCAACAGCTGCTACTCTTGGTTTTGTCTGTTCGTTTGTTTCCCTCCATCTCTTCCCTCCCTCCTCCTCTCTTTGAGAATGTAACCTAGAAACTAATTTCAGAAGATGTAATCTTTCTCCTTCTCCCTTCATGGTGCCAGGAGTTACACACTGGGTAGCTCAATTGCTTATCTGTTTATGTCACCAGGAAATAGATTTACTTGTCCTAAATTTGCTCACATTAAATACATTCTGTCCTAGTATTTTTTTTCCAATAGAGTTCAAAGAGGAACAAGTTAGATACACACACGCTATCAAGAATGAAGTTGTAGAACCTCTCAGTGCTGTTGTAGTCAAGGTCACCTTTACCCACACTTGACTTTGGCAACTTAGCCTTCATGGAGTTTCTAAGGTCTCCTATAACTTATCATCCCCCAACATGTGTGTCCATAAGTAACTGCGAACCTCTGCTTTTTAGTTATGTTGGAGAAAGGCCTTATGTTCTCAGGGTGATAGATTTTTGGTGCCACTTGTGCCCCTGGTCATTGATAACCAGTGATTGGATTTCAGTGTCTCTGCCAGTCGTCTCCAACGTCTTCACTCACAGGTAATTTTGCAATATTCTTCCTAGACTTGAATGAAGCCGTCCCAGAGACAGAGCGCCTGGATTCAAAAGCACTGAAAACTCGGGCCCAGCTCTCTGTGAAGAACAGGCGCCAGAGGCCCACGAGGACACGGCTCTATGACAGTGTCAGCTCTACGGATGGAGAGGACAGCCTGGAACGGAAGGTGAGGGCTCCTGGTTATCAGACGAGTAGCAAACGTGGCAGCTATTTTACTAATAGAGTTTTGCTCCCTCCTTGGAAGGAACTACAGTGCTTTATGTCTTTGTCTCCTGAATTTATATTCAATGTGCTATATGGTTGTCATTTATTTCTTTTCTCTATTCATTCAGTACCATAGCCAAGAGCATTATCCATATTACCATATTTCTTGATGGTACCTTTGGTATTCAGCTGTTAGTTTTGATCTTGTGGGAAGTAATGACCATTCAAGTACTCGTTTGTACATGCTTAGGTGGCTGTGGTAGCTGCATTGTTTATTGGTGAGTAGCCATGAGCTGTGCATTCTCAGAAGTAAGGCAACATCCAAAGGTTCCTTTTCCTGAGCAAAGGCCAGTTCATCTCTAAGTAGGTGTCTCACAGCACCGACTCTCACTGCCATAACTTGCTGTGTGACCTCTTAGCCCAACAGCCTTCAGTCTCTCTGACCCCACACATTACCAAATCGCTTCTGCCCAAGGATTGGAGAGTTTCTTCTCCAGAATCAGATTCTGGTGTCGCACTCCTCACCCCTGTGGCTAGCCATGGGGCCTTCTCATCGCACCACGTGACTGAGTCTCAAGAAGGATTACGGCTTCCAGAAAGGGACACTTTGTCCTCCGTCTCGGGAGACACTTCACCTTCGTCGCCTTCAAAATCTGATCATGATACAGAAGACGCTTCCTGCCACCGCCAAGCAACCAAGAAAACCTTACATGAAAAAGGTATTTGGATTTTGTTTTGCTTTTCCATTTGGCTTTCATCTGACATCACTAATACCTCAACTGTACAGTATAAAACTAGGTTTTTCTCGTAGGTGTAGAGCCTTAAACACTGCTTTCCTTCTATCTTAGGGAAGGAGAGAATGCCCACTTCCATGTATTTTGTTTTGTTTGTTTTTAGTTTTGCCTGGCAGTCTGGTATTTTTATCTCTTTAGCTTTCTCCATGTTGACTATTAAGGGAATGTTCTGGAAACTGTCTAAAGGTTGTGTACACTAGAGCCTGGAGTTTTCATGAACACAAACAGCCACGTAGGGAAAATGTGAAGATTAGATGATGTCAGCCGCTACCAGTTGATTGATTTTTATTTAACCAAGTTTTCACAGTAATGATGGTGATGCTATCACTGTAGTAATCATTGCAGGGATTAGCATTGCCGTGTGTGTGATAGAAGAGCAATGGGAAGAGATGCGGAGCAGGTAGAGAGTTAGTAGACTTGACTTTTCAAGTTTTATTTTATGTGCATGGGTGTTTTACCTGCAGGTCTGTCTGTGTGCCATGTGCATGCATTGCCCTCAAAGGTCAGAAGAGAATTATCAGATACCTGGAACTGGAGTTGTGGGTGGTTATGATCCATCATGTGGGTGCTAGGAATTGAACCCGGGTCCTGTAGAAGAGCAGCCAGTGCTCTTAGCCACTGAGCCACCTTTCCGACCCCTATACTTGTCTTTTTAATAATTTATTTTGGTAGATAGAAACAGTAAATCTGTGTTTAAATTAAACAGTGCAGAGAAATATAAAACATGAAGTTTGCACCCCTTTTACATATGATGTAATCCTTTAAAGTAACAATGTAGAATTATGTTATTTTTGTATAAGTAATATAATGTATACATATACAGAACAGAAATTATTTTTATATATGTTTTGGTTTATATGCTTACATTTTTACAAAAATACACTAACAAATCACATGACTCTGAAACTTTATTTTACAAATTATATTTTATTGGCACCTATTTATGACTATATTAAAATAGCTATATATATATATATATATATATATATATATATATAAATCCTGTATCGTCTATTAAGAATTATATGTAAAGATACTCAAAGCAGAGACTGGAAAGATTGCTCAATTGATAAAATACTTACAACCAAAGCATGTAGACTCAGGTTTGGATCCCCGGCAACAAGGAAAAAGCTGGGCATGGTGGTTTACATCTATAATCTCAGAGCTGGGGGATAGACAAGCAGATCTGTGGAACTCACTGGCAGCCCATCTAGCCAAGTCAGCGACCCATACTGTCGCAAAAAGAAGGTGGAAAGGAACTAAAGAAAGATGTCTGATACTGGCTTCTAGCCTCCACATGCGCACACACTCACATAAGCACACACACAGACATGTATACACACTCACATAAACACACACAGACATGCATACACATTCACATAAATACACAGAGACATGTATACACACATAAACACACACAGACATGCATACACACTCACATAAATACACACAGACATGCATACACATTCACATAAACACACAAACATGCATACACACATAAACACACAAACATGCATACACACTCACATAAACACAGACATGCATACACACATAAACACACAAACATGCATACACACTCACATAAACACACACAGACATGCATACACACTCACATAAACACACAAACATGCATACACACTCACATAAACACACACAGACATGCATACACACTCACATAAACACACAAACATGCATACACTCACATAAACACACAAACATGCATACACACTCACATAAACACACACAGACTTGCATACAGCTCACATAAGCACACACACGGATGTGTATACACACTCACATAAACACACACAGACATGCATACAGCTCACATAAGCACACACACAGATGTGTATACACACTCACATAAGTAAACACACAGAGATAAGTATACACACAGACATCCACTCATAGTCTCATAACACACACAGGCATACACACATACTCTCGTAACATGCACACAGACATATACACATATTCTCATAATGCACACACATAGGGAAAAATAATCATGGCAGCCCTGGTGTGTGCTAACAAAGCTGGAAAAATGGATAAATGATTGCTGTGAATTTATGTAATGAACCCATGCTGCAGGAAATCAGTCAACTAAAGTATAACTAAAGTTATCTTTATAACTGCAGATCTCCAGGAGAAGACATCAACAGGGCCAGATTACAAGAGCTATCCAATTATATTTGTAAAGAGCAAAGTTGGTAGATTATTTAGAAGTGTAGACAGAATTTCTCTTTACCAATGGGAAGGACAAAGTCTGCTCCCTGGAAGGAGGGGTCAGGAGGTGGTAGTGGGAAGAGTGTGAGGGACCTCGGTTCTACACAGTGCAGCAGAGGCAGGAGCAGCCACAGGCTCTTCTGTTCACTTTTACTGATATTCTCTGCCCATGCCATAAGTATTCTGGATTTTAGCTGTCAAAAAAAAAACCCAAAATACAAAGTTAATGGGTGGTCTTTTAATGTTCAAATAACTCCGAAGAACTGATTCTTTTTAAGAAGTCAAAAGTGACTCTCAGTTCCATGAAAAAAAGATTAACATTGGTTTGTAAGTTATGAAAAAGAGAACAACTTCACTAGTGATCAGAGAGGTGACCCTTTGAATTACCTGCCAGAGTCACCAGATCTCAGACTAGCTGGGAAGAGTCTGCCCGACTGCATGAGCTGTGGAAGTCACCAGACTCGCTCACTGCAGGTACAACTGCATAACACTGTGCCTTCAAAGGTCCTCATGCATTGTTGTCTGCCAGATTATAAAATACAAGTTTCCTACAGACGCTTATGAAGCAGAAACCAGCTGACCCATGGTGCTTTGTGACTTGGGGTCAGCATTGGCGTTCTCCTGAGCGTCCTTGCTGGGGCCTGTCAGTTATCTTCCAAAGACAGTCCTGCACACAGCTCTTTAGAAGCAGCCTGGGAGACAAATATTGAGTATCTAGAGGAGGCAAGAGAATTCTGTCAGGCTCACCACACAATCCAACATGGTAGTCAGGCTGCTGAACAGCTTGACTGTGAAGTTGGCTTACGTTGAAAAGAACTTTGATTAATGGTTATGATAGTGCCTTTATAGAGATAGGCTTGCAGTTAGCGCTCCACCATCTCCTAAGCGTGCAGACTGTTGTTGGGAGAAGGCCAAAGCAGAAACTCTTTCTTTGGAGTCCCATTGTGTGAGTCGATGTTGTTGTTCGGCTTGTTTTGTTTGGTTATTTGAAGTGCTGGAGACTGAACTCAGAGCTTTGCAAATGCTAGCCGAGCATCCTACTGCTGAGTGCATCCTCGCCCCACGACGTGCTATCCAAAGGCACGATGATCAGACAGTGGACCTCTGACCTGGGAAAACTCATGGAGACTTTTAAAAGCTCAGTTTTATCTGAATTCATGCTGCCCTTTTCTTCTGATTGATGCTGTTTTGAAGTTGGGAGAGGAGTCATTTAGAGATGGGAAGGATGCCCCATGGGCTCCTAAGCAGCAATGGGGAGCGGTCTGAGGACCTCTCCGTTTCCACAGAGCAGAGCTGCCTTGTTTGCATCTGTGTCTGCTTTGGAATTAACCAGGACTAAAAAGCAAGACACAGGTCGTTTCTTCTCCAGAGACCAAGATCTTGGGTTTTCCCTTCTTCAGTCCTTCTGGGCTGGCCATACTTTGCATTACTAAACAGAGCAGTTCATTGAACAGTTTTCAAATGCCAGCCTTGAAAATGGACAAGTATGACTGTTGTAACCTACTGTCTCAATCATGGTTTCTAGTGCTATAATACAAATACCATGACCAAAAGCAACACGAGGGGAAAGGGGTTCATTTCCTCTTCTACTTCCAGTTAACAGTGTCTTGTCCAGAGAAATCAAGGCAAGAGAGAGGGGCACGAATCAACGGCAGGAACAATGCAGCTGCTGTGCAGAGTGCTGCTTGCTTACTGGTTGCTCCCAGCATTACCTTCCAGGCTCCTATAGATCAACCCACAGAGCTTTTTCTAGCCCAAAATTTCCAAGTCCTTCCACAATCCTCACCAAAAAAACATGGTCTGGTCTGTCCCAGCAATACCCCACAAACCTGTTACCAGATATAGTCAGGTTGATAATGAGATTAACCTCACATACTAACTGAAAAGTGGTGTTGGCACTTCATCCTTTCTTTTCCTTGTTAAAGTTTGTAGTCTAGAGTTTCCTGTGCCTTCATATTCATTCACATTTATTCCCGTGTCCATTGCACACTTGCTGAGCACCTAATGTGTATCCAGGTGTGTCCTCAGTGACTGTTGGAATTGCACCACTTCCTTCAGGGAGCTGCATACCAAAGTCCGTGTCTTCATCTTCTCCCTGTGTGTGTTTCTGATGTTCGTGTTCATTCTGTCTGTGCCCCACAGAAAGAATGTTTGGTGGTCGACTTGTCCTCTCTGGGACCCCTTGCCAAGCCACAGTCAGCATGTCGAAAAGCACTTTGCTTCCTTGGCATTCTATTCTCAAGTTCTCCACACCTTGAAGGATGCCAGAGACATCTCAGCCACTGACTGTCAGACAGTGCTCTGAAGAACACGGTTCTGATCATCAGTTTTCTATGTCCCCAATTCCAGCAATTACACACATCTAATCAAGCACAGGGTGCTGTCTCATGCTGCTAAGATCTTTTAAAACATGCTGTACCAAAACAGTAATTTTCTAGCTTATTTTGGAGGGATCAGCTGACATAATAACCACTAGCCTTCATTCATTCCATTTTCTCCTTGGTGGTGGATTCATAAAACACAAAGTTACTCAGTGAGCATAAAATTAGAATCACATTAACTGGCTGTGTACACAGGATGTGCCATTCATGTGCGGATGGCCTGCCCCTTTCACTAAAGCTTCTCACATCCCTCAGGGTTCTCCCACCCAGCTCCAGACAAACAGACCTAAGCACCATTCAAACAGTAGGGAAATCCCATTGCTCCCTTTTGATCATATTGCTGCAGTGCATCCAACCAATGTTAACAAAGTGGAATCCTCCTTCACTGAATCAGAACTCCAGAGAATAAGGCTCTGTAATGCCTTGCATTCCTTGCTCTATGAGACACAGATTCTTTACTGTAAGCTGGATGTGAAAATTCTGGTGTGGCCAATCTCTGGCACCCTCAGTGTGTGGCTCTTAGCACTCCCTGACTTTCCAGTGAGGGAGCTTACTCAAAGGGGCTTTGTGATCCTCCTAGGTACAAATTTGACCTCATGTTTATGTTCTTGGCTAACACTGTACCCAACATAAATCTCACCTCCTTAATTTGGCCTTGGGCCAGCCACCCCATTCCACAGTGATTTCCACAGTTGCTTCTGAGTTCGCTCCTTTGTGTACAGTGACTGACTTGGTGGTTAGTGTGAACCAACGTTTTCTCTCGTAGCTTACTATCCTTGTTCTTCTTGGTTCTTCAGAAAGAGCGTGACAAATAAACAACGCTTGAACATTGCTAGACAAATTACTAAGTTTGCCTCTCCAGACAAGTAATACAGTCATCTGGGTGGGGTTCGCCAGCCAAACCCAACAGCCGCCTGTTTGGAAGGGAAGTGTTCCTAGAATGTGGCCATACTTTTTCTGCCACGTAAGCATCCCTTCAAGCTATTTTGGCAGAGCAGGGTGATTGAATGAGAAACTGAACCTCTTCTCAACATACACTATTTACTCTTTTGCCCATGGGGATGGGGGAATCTTCCTGATGCCTGGCCTACAAGTGTGCTTCATCCTGCTCAGCACTGTGTCGTGAGCTCTGGATATGGCTATGTCACAGGTTGCCATCTGCCTGGCTTTTAAAGAAATCTTACATCATCACTTTTTGTCTATTGAGTTAGTTATAAAGATGGCTAATCTATCACTGTGTATTAATGAAACCCTAACGATAGCCTCTGGCCACCCTACTAGAATTAGAAGTTCTCCAGATGTGTTGGTGTCTCCGTTTGCATGCCATCGTTTTCCCTCATCAGTATGAATGGAGACAGAGGGATCCCATAACCACCACCACCTCAATGGTTTACCTGTAACTGAGTGGCAGTTAGGTTAGCAGAAGCCAGGGCAGTATATCTCCAGGGGTTGTAGAACAGGATTCTGTGACCATGAAGGCATGAAAATGCTTCCTTTCTCCCCTGTAGGAGCAGCTTTATACTGAGGCTTTGTCTCTGGCTTACATAGCAGTGAGGCTTTGTCCAGTCAAGGTTAGTGAGCAAATTCAGACTCACTATCAATTTTCTACTCAACTTCTAGAAGTCAGTATTCTAAGTTTCTGTTTTGACGGTTGGCACACTGCCTGACATAGAGCACTTTCAGGAACTTTCCAGCTTGGCAAAGTCTTCCTACAGTTGCCCTCTCCTTCATATACTGCAGTAGGCCTCTGCGTGTGTGCATAAATGCCATGTTACTGCGGAGAGTGGAGAAGATGCTCTGCTTGGTCACTGCAGAAAATACAACTGAAGGCTCCACCCGGGCTGTACAGAAGACGGAAGGAAAGATAGAGTGTCCCTGTGAGCAGACATGTCCAGGAGTCCGGAGCAGTGGGCTAGCTCAGTGACTGAACGTGTTGCTTCTGCGGGATAGCCTGACTGAGTGTAAAAGCCAATAGGTGTTATTTTCTATTGCTCTATAATTTAAGTATCTTGGATACTTGTGCTAGGGAGCCACAGACTATTCTCAGAAGAGAATAAATAGAAAAGGACAATGAGCGTGCGGGAACTGAGTGAGGAGACTCTCGGGAGAATGCTTGTGAACAGGGAGCCTGGCACTGCTGGGCCTGGGCAGAGACTCACACAAGAGCCATGAAACCTATGTGGTTAGATCATAGTGCGAAGAAGGTGAGCCAAAGCTCATCACAGGCGTGGGACTTCAGAACACATGCTTTATCACTAATGGAAAATAAGAAATCAAAAACACTGTATGGAAAATATGATTAATTTCTTTTTAAATAGAGGAAGTCCAGAATCCAGGAAAGAAACCAGGTCAGGAAGTGGATCTGAAAAATCCCATCATAAAAGAAGGGAGAGTCAAGTGTCTGATTGAGCAGATTGATGTCATTAAGGAGGGACTGTGGGATTTAGAGACCAGGATGTGTTTGTTGGGGAAGCAAGAGCCAAGTTGCTGAAGCTTAAAGTCAAAGTGCTTGGTGTGGGTGCCTGAGCTTCTGATGGGTCACAAAAGTCATATAGGAACAGTTTCTAAAACCTAATGGACATCTTTCCTAACACCAAATAAATAAATATGCACAAACACAATATGTGCCTTTCTTCAGCACATACCAACCCCATGTTAGGTTTTATGCAGACCTAAAGTTCTACCATACATTAAAAATTAATTTAAATGATTTAAATGGCAAGGGGCACTATTCTTTAATCTCGCCTCTTCATTTCAGTGTTGCTTGAAATGTGTTTTGGCAAATGTGTGAGATAATGATGTGAGGTTGCCTAGCAGCAAGCTCTGTGATGGGCAGAACCCGGCTTTTAGTGCTAAGATGTCCAAATGACTACAACAGGAACAGGTTACAGAGAGTCTCAGTGACATTGTCTCGGGGTTCATCTCGCCACTCATTAAAGCATCTTCTAGCTGCACTAATTCAGAAAATAATTAAGGAAGCTCTTTTAACAGGTGCTGTCCTGGCCCTTAAGAGTTCTTTAGGATTGAAACGGAAGAATTCATCTCATTTGTTTCTTTGGCTTCTATTTAGAAAATTGAAACCTGATTGTTTTTTTTTTTTAGGTATCCATTAGCAAAATCACCTTACAAGGTATCCATTTTTAAATATGGATTTGAGCCACATCTATGACTATTTAATTCTGTTAGTGGAAGAATAATGATGCAAATATTCATAATAAACATTTGAAGCAAGAAGTGAATTTTTGACACAGGCATATATCTGATTCTTGTATTTCATCATGTACATTTTAAAGAATTATTGTAATCTGCTGAGAACCATTAACTAGCAATACAAAAAGCTCATAGCTAGGAATGCTTGGAGTCTCTGTCCATGTACTGTGCTAGAGTAAGAGCTTTGGAGCCTCCCTGAAGAACGGGTAGGTGTACTGGTATCTGTTTAGAAGTTTGTCCTGAGGTAAACAAAAATCATAAACAAAATTAACCATTAAGGTTAATTGAACACTGTCTTGGGATGCCCATTTTCTATACATTCCATGCAAGAATTTCTAGACCTTAAAAAAAAAAAAGCTAGAAGCAGACACCAGCAATTAACAAGGAAGTTTTGCACAAACAATCACATTTGATTTAAAACACTACCTGTCAATCATCCATGGTGATTGAAGATGCTGGAATGTGGCACCCATCACTTTCTGCTGCGGTTTCATCTGCCTTATCAAAGGTGGAGTACATACCACCGGTAGAACCTGGCGCTGCATTCACACCTTCCTCATGGTTGCGACACTGCAGAACAGTGCCAGCATCATTTATGGAGTAGCAACTCGGTCAGCTACAGGTCCTTGGAAGATTTGGGTATTTTCTGTCTCATGGTAGGCCAAACAGTTGTGTTCCAACTAGCTCTTAAAAAGAACCTTTCAAAGATCTATTTGGCTTCTGCTTAAAAAAGGTTTCCCCATGTTCTTCCTTACCCTGTCGCAGAACTAGCCCTGGGCCACTAGTATGGGAGATCTCAGGAGGTAATTTAAGGGAAAACAAAGGTGTGCATTGGTGTTTTGCCGTGGGTGTTGAGTCCCCTGGGTCTGGATACTTGAACCCAGGTCAGTCAGTGCTCTTAACTGCTTAGCCAATTTTCCACCCACCAAAGGGAAAGTTTTATTCAGTTGCTATCTTCAGCTCCCAAACTTTAAGAGGTGATATTTTCTACTTGGATTTGAGATTCAGAAGGGCTTCTTCAGAATGTAGGAGAACCCCAAACCAAGAAATCTGTGGAAGAAGGAAATAGGCTTTGGGTGCCTGGAGGTAGATCCAGAGGCAGGCAGACATCAACACACGTGCTGGGAAATGAAAGTGTTTATTCCGCTCACTTCCCTCTTCCCTGTCTCTCCAGTAGGACTTTGCTGCTCCGCTGACTCTGGCCATCATTGCTGAGTTTCTGTGTCCTCTAGACAGGACAAACACCATGTTCTTATACGTTGAATAATTCAGGCAAAACCCTTAGCTTCAGAGATACACTGACTTTTGATTCATGGCTTAAAATATAATGCTAACATATCTTTTTCCTATGTGTCTATGTCCTAGACGGTGCCAATTGTCCTAAATCACTAAGAACATCCAGTTCATTCATGGTACAAGGAGGAAAAATTAAGCTGAAGTTTGTGGATCTGGGGTAAGCTTTTCCTTCTGGGAAAGTGGTTCTCCATGAGGCAAGATTAAAAGAAGACGTTACCTTTCTCTTCATGACTGTATCCTGTTATTGTAGGGCACCTTTGCGATGGAACCCCAACAAGGGGAAGAAATGGAAAGAAAAAGAAGCCAGTAGGTTTTCTGCAGGTAGCAGGTACGGGTGGGCGATTAAGAATGTACATTTCTTTCCATCCCTCTTACTGTTAACCAAGATCAGTGGTCAGTGTTTCTAAACACACCTGATGAACCCAGAGTTGTAACCAAAATAAATAAATAAATAATTGAGCCATTATTTTATGGCTGTCTTTAGTTATAGCTTTGAATAAGTCCATTGGTCACTAACTGCCAAATTACAATCATATGAACAATTCCATTAAATAATTATCTAAATGCATCTGTGTGATAGTTTAGACATATTTCAGGTTTCTTTATTGTTATACTGGGTTTGGTTGGTTGATGTCTTTTGTTTTGTTCTGTTGGCCTGGTTAGTCACACTGTTAATGCGTTTCCTCTTCCCACATCCTCATGTAATAGGTTAATTTTGCATTTGACACCATGCTGACATTCTACATGCATGTAAGAATGACCACCAATCTCTGGCTGGACTCTGCAGTTTAGTGGACTTGCAAGAACTGTGGACTACACTTACCTTTCAGTAAACATTTTTGTTTTATAGAGAACTAAGTTTTGAACAGCATGTTGGCAAGTTTTCCCTGTTCTATTTTGAGGTTATATAATTTAAGATAGATTTATGTAGGGGGCAGCAAATCATAAAGCTCTGAAGCCCATGTGTCTTGGATTAAATTTTAGTTTTCTAGTTCTTGCTTTTAAATCCTGGATAGATTGTTCAGCCATCTCTGCCTCTGTTTTCTCATATGAAATGAGTGTGATAACAATTCTTATAGGAGTAGTGTGAACATTAAATAAGAGTGTGTATGAAACATCGTAAATGTTTTCTTTATACTTGGTACATAGGCAGTATTTAAAAATAATATTAATGATGACAAATTGCTGGTGTTGTGGCTTTATATTTCCCGACCTCATTTTACCCTTTTACTAGGATTGGGCAGACAGATAGTAGTACCATCCTTTCTTGATGAAGAATTGTACCTTAATCCGATTTGCTCCGTTTTCCTGAGGTCATGCAGAAGTCAGTGAGAGCTGAGATGGGGCTCGGGCCTCTACTCTAGGCTTTTCAGCATAGCACGCCAGCACATCTGGTAGTGACTGGATTTCTCTACGCTGGTGTCAGCTCAGCGTTTCTCTTGGTGTCATAGATTAGGAAAGAAACATGAACCCCGAGAGACTTGGGGGATCACTTGCCTACTTCTTCGCTTGTACACTGTTGCTTCATTGTCTTGGGAGTGAGGAGAGAGAATTTCAAATTTAATTAGTTTTTGCTAGTCTGGTTTTTACTTATGCCCTCCATATTTTGAGGGACTCTCAAGAAAATTAAGTACCTGTGAGGCTACAAGCAACTCAAGCAATTAATTTTTCTGTGTATTTTTAAAGAAGTGTAAAAATACCTGTTTTGAACATTAAAACCAAGCACTATTGACCATATTCAGGAAGAAAATAATGAAGCCAGGAGAGCAGAAGTTGAGGGGATTCCACCTGGAAGAGGCACTCCCCTCCTTTGATCTGTCAGCGTAGAGTGCTCTTGTCCTCTTGACCCAAGAGAAGCTTAAGCACGGAATCCCACAGAAGGGGGAGTGACCGCATTTCCAGTGTGGTGTAGGTAGATGCTGACTGCACTATAGGAACAACCACAGTGGTTGGAAGTGATGTCACCAGTACCAGGGCTACCACTGCTGAGGCCATTTTTCTCCCACACCTGGGCTACCCGTCAGCTGTCACTCCTGCTCCGTCTTTGTAAAATACAAATTCTCGATACCCACTGCTTCACTGGACACAAATAATTCTATATATGCCGACAACACAAAATGGTTTTCAACTAGAATTGTAATTTTATAATTATTAGTAGTAGAATTTTGGTAGGATAAAAAAATGAGCTTATATAATTGAGATAGAAAAACAAGATAACAGAGAACTTTTTCCATTTCGCAAAAACAAGTTTTGAGCTACCGAAGTAATTGGTAACGCTAATCAGTTGAGCTTCTGTTCCTGTATGGGTTGATAATGGACCCAGGGCCTTAAACAGCACATCCCCAGACGAACAGCATTTCCACCCTGTGGGAGTTTCATGCAGGTGGGGTTCAAAACATCAGCGGCTGCAGAGAGCATCCAGGGCAATCGTGGCGAAGAGAGGGGAATGGACCCTACCTCATGCAGCTCTCTCAGGCAAGGCAGCAGAAGAGCCTCAGAGAGAGCTAATAATCTCATCTCTTGGGCTCTTTGTCGATTCCCATTAACCTGTGCTGTTAGACTTGAAAGAATAAGACTTTCAGTAACTTAGTCTTGGTTGTCACTTTTCTTCCCCACAGAGTTTACTCTTCCGTGTTTCTAGTGAGGACATAATAAGTCAGATACATGAGCAGCAGGAGACACGGAGAGAATAGATGAGCATGATGGCCATAATAAATAACCCCAGGGAAGAATTAGGATTTAGTGTATACAGTAGACATTCTGATTTGCACAAGCACTGGAGAGAGAGCCAGCAGAAGCAGCACCAGGTTAGCAGAGCTTGTTAACCCTTAGAGGTACACACCTGAGCTGTAGGATAAGCCATAGCCTGTCCGGAACCAAAGAGCAGTGAACACTGGTTAGTGTCAGTGAAGCACCTACTTGGAACACTGTTGAGAAGTTCCAGTTTAGAGTCAATGGGTGTGTGTGTGTGTGTCCGACAAAGGTAGACGACAGTATGTTGGGGAAGTGACTGAGAGTGAAGATGGCTCTTCTCTTTGGAAATGAATTTGCATTTCCCTAAAAGGGATGGACAGTGACGAGAAGCCTGAGATGCAGTTCAAGGTAGTGGTCCTCACTCTACCTTCAGTATGTCACCTGGGCTTCCTACCAATGCACGTGCATGGCGTCTAACTTTACATCCGTCTCTGTGCCCCGTCTGCTATGGCTGCCACCGTCAGCTGTGGTTACTGAGCTGGTCTGCGGTGAGATATGCATGGTGGAAAATGCAACATCCTTCGAACCTTAGTGTGGAAAAGGAGTAATAAACATCTTAGTGTTCCTAATATTAATTGTATTCTAAAATACAGTTGGAGTTGTAGATGTATTTACTACTAAAGTTAGTTTACCTGTATCGTTTCATGTGGCTACTAGAAAATTTTAATCTATACATGTGACCCACACTATGAGTCTATTCTATGGTGCTGCTCTGTATTGTTCCATGAAAAATAAATGTTCCTTAGATCCCAAATCATTATGATATTGACCTGTAATTAATATGTTCTTTCATTTAGTTATGTATATTCTACTCTTAGTCTCAAAATATTCTGTTTACATTCAGAAGTATGTGTTTTATAACATAACATAAATAAACAACATGGAAAAAAGTAAGATAAAGCAAAAAAAAAGTATAGTTGGTAGCTAAACTGCAGCATCTTTAGCAACAACTTCATAGTAACCACCATGTTCGCCTCTCAGTAAAAACCGAGGGCATACGGAAAGTTCAGAGCCTAAGTTCAAAACTCAGTTATGCCATTTATTTTAGTCAAGTTATTGAACCTGCCAGGGCCTCAGTTTTCTAATCTGAAAAATGGAGTCATACCCATTCCTCATGTAACCATCTACAGACTTTTGGGGAGCCTGTGAGCGCTAATATTTCAGTACATGTTAGTTCTCTAACAAGTATACACTGCTATGTCAGCATCATTTCTAATATGTAGAGAGAGTTTGTTTGGATGGAAACAAAACATCCCTTATGTATATTATACTGACAGACTTGTCCATCCAAGGATGACTTTCCTTGTATTACAGGCAGTCTTTCACTGACAAAATTTCTCTCAAAGCCGTTAGATAAATGCTAGCATACCAGGGATCCCGGAGGACCGCTTTGCCCTGCTGCTGGGTAAGGCAAGAGCCTCCTTGCTGGCCGTCCGTGCTGAGCACATAGACACCCATTAGCACAATGGCGATTGAGGCGCATGCTTGAGTGTATAAAGGAAAACCCTCATGTGTGCTAGGCTGGGCCCAGTGAGAGTGAGTGCCACTGTGGGGAGCAGAGCCCCCTTTGCAGGGCTCGGTCTAGTTGATAAAATAATTCAAGAGCAAGCATGGTGATTATCTCAGTGACAATCTTATTGTAGATAGAGGGGGAAAGAGGAGTGAGATAGAGATCTTGGCGGTGGCTGAGAGAACAGATGGAAAGAGTGAAGAAGAAGAATGTGTGCCATGGAAAACACGGGGCAAAGAGAAAGAACCCCATAACCTTTGTTCCTTGTCAAAGGGTGGTGTGTACCTCCTCACAGAAACTGCACCCCATACTTTCAGAGCCACCAGGAAGAAATGCGTAACCATCACAGTGAGGGCCTTGGCTGTCATCAACCAGGAGCTGCTTGGCGTGGCTAGACCTCAGTGTGGGATGGAGAGGGTGAGCAATGAAATCAGCTTACGGTGTAGCTTCCTCAGCTGCAGTCCAGAGAGGGATTTTCTGTCATCAGTATCTCCGTTAGCTCTGTGGTCAGCTTAAAGATCCCGCCATTGCTCCATCTTTAACATCACCGTGGTTCCAAGAAGCTGTGCATCTTCATCCCTTACACACTTGGCCCTTGCTGTCTTGTTTTTAATCTAGCAATGGAAAGCTAGTGCTTGGAGATGAATTAGAAGCAGCTTAGAGAGTTCCCATTATTGTGATTGAAATCTGCCTTTCTTTAATTTCCTATCTAACAGGTTATTACCGACCAGCGATCATGCCAGTTAACCCAGAGCAAGCTGACATATTGCTCCTGCCTGTGCAGTTGGGCTTGGGAGGAAATAGCTGCAGAGAATGATTTCACCCTCTCTTTCTGCCTGCCTTGCCCTGTGAAGAGCAGTGACCTTTATACCGCCTCTGGGACATGTCAGCTTCATAGTCTGACTCTCAAAGAATAAAAAAGTACATACCTAGCAAGGAAACACTTTTGAATGATGTTAAGAAAAAAAAAAGGTCTTGAGCTGGCCATATACCTCAGTTATAGAGGGCTTGCCTGGTATGCATGGGATCCTGAGTTTCACCCCTATCCCTAAACTGGGTCCAGC